TCCCGAAAGTCAAGATACTGGACTGCATTCAATTGCAGTCAGTGTCGCTCATAGGCACTAACAAAAAGTATACCCTCTCAGATTCGTTTCGTGTGACCTTTTCAGGATCGGCATTACCTGACTACGTCACAATTGGGAAGGTTCGACTACCTGTACGCTTGTTTGTACCGAGGGTAATGAATTGCTTGAAATGCAAACAACTAGGTCACACCGCGGACTTTTGTTCCAACAAACCGCGGTGCGATCAATGTGGGGAGGAGCATACGGAGGGTCCTTGTCATGCTACCCCAAAATGCGTTTACTGTAAGGATGCTCCACATGCTCTGAGTGATTGCCCGAAGTACAAACAGCAGGGAGAAAAACTAAAGCGGTATTTGCAAGCTCGCTCTAAGCGCTCGTTAGTAGAAATTTTGAAAACGACCGCTTCATCTTCCCAAACCACCCCAAAAAGCAACAACACATTCCACCTCCTTCCAGATGATGATCAGGGCTCTGACTCAGAGGTGGGTGAGAGTAGTCCTTTTGTCTTTAATGGCAACACGAGGAAGCGGTCCAAAACAAACGTCACCCAAAAACCTCGTAAGGCCTCTCGTACGGACTCTCAACCTACCTTGTTAAATTTAAGAGGTAGCGGAAATGTAGTAAAACCCCCACCACCGGGATTTAAAGTTTGTAATTTTAACAAAGACTTTCCGCCACTTCCGGGATCATCTAAAACCCCAGATATCCCAGTTTTTCAGCCAGAAAAACAGCTGAATAACCAGCAAGAACATGATGCCATGTTCACGTTTTCTGGAATTGTGGAGAGCATCTTCAATATATTCAACGTCTCTGACTCAACTAGGAACATTATTAATTTAGTGCTTCCATTAGTGAAAACTCTTTTGAAGCAACTAGCTTCTAGGTGGTCCTTCCTTGCGTCGATCATATCCTTTGATGGATAATTTTCCGAATGAGGTCGGGGATATGATCTCTGTTCTTCAGTGGAACTGTAGAAGTCTTATACCGAAACTTGACACATTCAAATTTTTACTTCACAACTCACTTTGTGATGCATTTGCTCTTTGTGAAACATGGCTTTCTTCAGACACCGATCTCCGTTTCCACGATTTTAACATTATTCGCCTTGATCGAGCAGATTCGTATGGAGGAGTGCTTCTCGGGATTAATAAGCTCCATTCCTTTTATAGAATCGATCTGCCTTCCGTGACAGGCATTGAAGTTGTCGCATGTCAGGTAAATATTCGAGGTAAAAGCCTCAGTATTGCCTCAGTATATCTTCCTCCAAGAACTGCGATTTCTCGCCAAGGTTTCTCTGATATCTGCTCAGCTTTATCTGAGCCTCGGTTGATCTTAGGAGATTTTAACTCCCACGGTACAGGCTGGGGGGAACTGTACGACGACAACCGCTCAACCCTGATATACGACCTTTGCGATAACTTCAATATGACAATTCTGAACACTGGGGAAGTAACACGAGTTGTGAAACCTCCAGCAAGAGAAAGTAGATTAGACCTCTCCCTCAGTTCGAGTTCACTATCGTTGGATTGCTCGTGGAAAGTAATTCAAGATCCCTACGGCAGTGACCACTTGCCAATCAAAATTTCTATTACCAATGGTTCATCTTCCACTCGCTCGGTTGACATCGCGTACGACCTCACGAAAAACATCGACTGGCAAAAATTTGCGTCCGCGGTTCTTGGTGGTACTGATTCGGTTGAGATACTCCCTCCGCTGGATGAGTACTCCTTTTTATCGCGACTTATCGTTGACTGTGCTCTTCAAGCACAGACGAAACGCGTTCCGGGTGTTTTCGTTCGCAAACGACCTCTCACTCCGTGGTGGGATAAGGATTGCACCGACGCGAACAGCGAGAAGTCCGCCGCGTTTAAACGCTTCCGCAAACACGGTAAGGTCGAGGATTTCGAGCGGTACACCGGCTTGATTAAAGCCAAAAAACGCAGTTACTGGCGTCGGTTCGTCGATGGTTTGTCGCGCGAGACTTCCATGAGAACGCTCTGGAATGTCGGCAGGAGAATGCGAAACGCGTCATCACCGGTCAACGAAGACAAGGAGTACTCAGACAGTAGGATATTCAGCTTCGCGCGGAAAGTTTGCCAGGATTAGGTGTCGGTTCAAACCAACTTTCGTGATCGTCCGTCGGGTAATAACGAAATAGATTCCCCGTTTTCGATGGTGGAATTCTCACTTGCTCTCCTCTCATGTAACAACTCAGCTCCAGGAATGGATAGAATCAAGTTCAACTTGCTTAAAAATCTCCCAGACTTCGCGAAGAGACGCTTGTTGAACTTATTCAATCAATTTCTGGAGCACAACATTGTTCCGGATGACTGGAGGCAAGTAAGAGTTATCGCCATTCGAAAACCCGGTAAACCCGCATCGGATTATAACTCGTACCGTCCCATCGCGATGCTGTCCTGTATACGGAAATTGTTGGAGAAAATGATTCATTTTCGTCTAGACAAATGGGTCGAGTCGAATGGTTTACTTTCAGATACGCAATTTGGATTTCGAAGAGGCAAAGGAACGAGCGACTGTCTTGCGTTGCTTTCAACTGAAATTCAACTGGCCTATGCGCAAAAACAGCAAATGGGTTCAGTTTTCTTGGATATTAAGGGGGCTTTTGATTCTGTTTGTATCGATGTCCTTTCGGATAAACTCCACGATAGTGGGCTTTCACCAATAATGAACAACTATTTGAGCAACTTGTTGTCTGAGAAATATATGAGCTTTTCTCATGGAAACTCGACAACTTCACGAATTAGTTACATGGGTCTCCCCCAGGGCTCATGTTTAGGCCCCCTTCTTTATAATTTTTATGTAAAAGACATTGATGGTTGTCTTGATGAAAATTGCTCGCTAAGGCAGCTTGCTGATGACGGCGTTGTGTTCGTTATAGGACCAAGTGCACCGGACCTGCAAGGACCATTGCAAGATACCTTAGACAATTTGTCTACTTGGGCTATGAAGCTGGGTATCGAATTCTCTCCGGAGAAAACTGAGTTGGTTGTTTTTTCTAGGAAGCATCATCCTGCAAAGTTACAGCTTCAACTAAAGGGTAGAACAATCACTCAAAGTATATCTTTCAAGTATTTAGGTGTCTGGTTCGATTCCAAAAGCACGTGAAACAAAAATAACAACAAAGAATCAATTTTCTTCGTACAATTACTGGAACTTGGTGGGGAGCATACCCGGAAGATCTGATCAGGTTGTATCGAACAACCATCTTGTCGGTCCTAGAGTACGGTAGCTTCTGCTTTCAATCCGCGGCAAAAACACACATCCTGAAGAACGGGTTCAATACCGTTGCCTCCGAATCGCGCTTGGCTGTATGCACTCGACGCATACGATGAGCCTCGAAGTACTCGTGGGTGTTCTCCCACTGACAGATCGTTTCGCGGAACTGTCCTTCCGGTTTCTTATCCGTTGTGAAGTAATGAACCCATTGATAATAGAAAACTTTGAGAAGCTGCTCGACCAAAATCCTCAAACAAGATTCATGAGTTTGTACTATGAGTACATGACGCTGGAGGTTGGTCCTTCTTCATTAATCTCCAATCGTGATTGCTTCCAAGCCTTCTATAGTTCCTCTGTAAATTTTGATCTGACCATGATGCAAGAAATCCATGGAATACCAGATCACCATCGGTCGATGGTTGTTCCCTCAATTTTTGCAATCAAGTACCACCATGTAAGTAACGATAAAGGATTTTTCACAGATGGGTCAACCATAAATGCTTCCACTGGATTTGGTGTATTTAATCAATTTCATAGCGCCTCTTTTAAACTGCAGAAACCATGCTCAGTATACGTTGCGGAACTCGCAGCTATATTTTACGCAGTAGAGCAAATTGCCTCACTACCTTCTGACCATTATTTCATTTTTACGGATATAGTCTTAGCTCATTGGAGGCTATTCGTTCAATGAGGCCGATGAAGCACTCCTCGTATTTCCTGCCTGAAATACGATCTAAACTGAGTGCTTTATCTAACTGCTCCTATACTATTACCTTAGCTTGGGTCCCATCTCATTGCTCAATTCCGGGTAATGAGAAAGCGGACTCGTTGGCTAAGGTGGGCGCTATGGAAGGCGATATTTTTGAGCGACAAATCGCCTTCAACGAATTTTTCTCCATTGCTCGTCAGCAAGTCCTCATCAGTTGGCAACACAAATGGAATGATGGTGAATTGGGAAGATGGTTACATTCTATTCTCCCACAGGTGTCGAACAAACCATGGTTCAAAGGGTTGGACATGAGCCGCGACTTTATACGCGTTATATCAAGGCTTATGTCCAATCACTGCTCGTTAGACTCGCACTTCTATCGAATTGGGCTCTCAGTCAGCAATTTATGTGCGTGTGGCAGTGGTTATCACGATACCGAGCATGTTGTTTGGTCATGTACCTTATACCGTGTTGCCAGATCTGAGTTATCCACATCCCTCAGGGCCCGACGAAAACAACCCGCGATACCCGTCAGAGATGTCTTGGCGAGCCGAGATCTCATCTATTGCAATTTAATTTATGTGTTTTTAAAACGGATAGATCTGAGGATTTAGTAGTTAGTGTCATCTTGTGTTCTCCCAAGTTGTTAGCTGCCCATCGGTGTACCCCCATGTTTGTCTTTTCCATCAGAGTGTCGCTTAGTTCAAGATCAAGAGCACATTGCTCTACAAACCTTGTGTTCACAATCCCTACCCTGCCATCCATTTGTTACAATTTGTCACCCCTAACCTCGAGATAACCGCGAGTAATCGGCCCCCGCTTTACTAACGTTAGTTTTAAGTAATTTTGTAATCTAATCAATGAATATTGGCTCCGCAAAGCTATAGCAAATGAGCCTGGAAAAATAAACGCATTATAAAAAAAAAGGCCGAAGCGAGAAACTAGCAAGAAATTAACCATTGTATGTTTGCTGGTAGTTGATAGCGGAAAATGCGAAGTGGCATCAGAAACCATATCACCACAATATACTTACGTTCGGAATACTTCGTCACGTAGACGTTTTCATCTGCTAGGCGTTTAATTTTCAGCGCTTGCGACACGGCTATGGAGAACTTGAAGCGCACTATGGTGCAATATCGCATCGAATCCACTCGGTGGATGTAGGCCACCCGTCCGCACTCGTTCATCGCCTGGTAAATTTCGTCGTTCGTGAGATCTGACAAACGTGAAATTCATTAGCAAGAGCATAGCAATAAGACTATCAGCAGTATGACACTTACAAACATTCGTTCTTTTCAGTAGCACAGACGTCGTAGATTTGACCTCACCATACGCTATCCGCGGGTTGTAGATGTCCAGTGCAACACCCTGAAAGTTGTGCGGAGCATACAGATAAACGAAGCGAGCTGTTTTCGGGTTCATATAGGTCACAAAGCCAATGTTTGTCAGAACCGATATGGGCGACTTCTGCATCTCCCAATCCACAACCTTCCCGAATTTGCTCAGATATTCCAGGACTTCCTCTTCCGGAACGCTTCGGGGAATATTGGTGACAAGTACTGGAATGAACGTTGATGATTTATACACTGCACTCTATTAATCAAATTATCTTACATTTAGTCTGAGTTTCTGATTCTGGTTCGTATCTTAATCCCAAAGCTGAAATTAGTCAACGATTATTAATCTTAAAACTACCGTCACTCTCAGTTTCGCATACCGTCACACTTATCTCGGATGTCAGCGTACGTCAGAAGCGTCGGTTTCTCCATGATCATGCTGATATTCCTCTTCACCGGGAATACTTCAATGTCCACTCCCTTCAGATTGCGATTCTTTATGGCCAATGCACGCTGGGTGCTTTCACTGCGTTCAAACGAAACGTACGCATAGTTGATTGCCGGCTTCTGAACGCACTCGATTGCGCCAATGTTCTTGAAATGATCGTAAACGTCTTCCTCCGTGACATCTGCAATGAAGGAACCTCTTAGAATCGACCAATTGAAAGACAAATGCCCATCCCACTTACATTCGTTCAATTGTTTCACCATCACAGCGTACCGGGGCGTAAAGTTCCGGTCGGAATCCACGCTGGTGACGAAGATCCGCTTACCCTGGAAGAACGTCTGATTCAGACGGTACGCTTTGCTTTCATCGTGCCGATTGGAGAACTTCATGAAGGCAATCTTGGTCGGGCAGTAGGTGCAATCGTCCAACCGGAAGCTGAAATCCACGATGCCCTTGCACTCGTGAAAGAACTTACGCAGCTGGTCTTCGGTGGCCGCCTTCGGAATGTTGCCCACGTAAACAAGGAGCCCACCGCCGCCGCTGCTTCGGCTGTTCTCTGGTTTGCCTGCAATTAGCGATAAATTATGAAAACATTATGAAACTAGCTAAACACATATTGCAAATCATGTACTTACCACCCATTGTAGGCTTTGCAAGTAGATTTTACAGTTTTATGCAGGAATCCGTCGTAATTTCGAGATTTGTTCACAAAATTTGATAAACTTTGCAGTTTGTGAAAAAACCAAGCCCGATGACTTTTACCTCCGCTAATACACGGCCAATGAGAACACCCTAAATTTGAGTTCAGTTTAATCATAAATCGCAAAAAAAGTGTACACGGTCAATGAAATCATCGCAAATTTGAGTATAGTTTACTCATAAATCACCTAAAGTGCATAAACTCAGCGATGAGTAAATTTGCCTCATGTTTTCTAGGGAAAAAATCCCAAATATAAGTAAAGTAAAGATTGGAGTCATTCAGTCTACTGGTAGTACTCCTAAAATGAGTAAACTTTTCGTAATTTTCCTTATTTTCTGGAAGATTTTTGAGGTTTCCCACAGAATACATATGAAGCAAATTTACTCATCGCTGAGTTCCTGCACTCTTGGCAATTATGAGTAAACTAAACTCAAATTTGGGTTGTTCTCTTTGGCCGTGCAGGTACTCAGCGAATACACGCTATTTTAAAACTACCAAAATTTGGGTACAATGTTGAAGGTTGACAAATGGACACGGTTAGAAAAAAGTACCCAAAAGTAAGTTCTTTTCACTCATCTCGGCACTATAGTGCAGGAACCCAAGAATAGGTAAAACGGGTCAAAGTAGTTTTCATTTACTTGTGTGCAATTCGTATGGAATTTTCCACTAGCTTTCAACGCAAAAGTAAGTTAGTTGTACCCAACAGTAGGTAAATATTATTATACTCAACGTTGGGTTCCCACACGTTACTACCCCTGTTGGGTGGTTTGCTCCTCCGTTTTTGACAACATTAGAAGGAGAAAAGGAGACAAACTAGTCAAAAGTAGGTAAAAGTGAACTGGCCGTTGGGTACTTTTTTCTTACCGTGGACGTCAACATGAATCCGATCGACGTTGTTCATTTGTCAACTTGTCATTCACAACATAGTTTACCCATTTTTGGGTAGGTTAAGTTTTGACCGATCTGGGTGAATTCTACCCAAATTTGGGTAGCTTTAGAATAGCGTGTTACTCATTTTTCCTCCACCCTCGTTTAAATTTCCTCTAAAGTGAGTAACGTTCCACTCACTTTCGATTAAAGTGGAATTATCCTAACATGAGTAACCCCTTGTTAACTCACTTTTGAGTAAAGTACACGGCCAATGAGAACTACTAAACCTAGGATTAGTAATGAGAACAACCCAAGTTTTATTCGGCCCAACTCCTACTAGAAAGCATGCATGAAGCAAAAAGCATGATTGACCGCCCACGGTTGCTGCTCTGTTATTACCAGATCAACTGCAATTACACAGAGAACCAACAGATGATGTTTGGGACTAACATTCATCCTCAATGTGTAAGAACTGGTGATCTAATATTTTAGCAATACCAGCGCCGGCCGTGTCCGAATGCAGGTCAACTAGGGAATGGGAAGGAATGTGTCGACGTGGTACTTGCTGTGAAGGAAACCGAGAAATCCTCTGCGCTTCCACGAGAAATCACTGGGATGTTGGATGTGGGGAAAGGTTGCGATTATAATACACAAACACACACACACGCGCGCGCACTCATCAAATTTCTAGTTTTAGATCAGGAACCAAACTGTGGTAAGTGATGCGATCGGTGTTAAAGATGAATTTGTTTTCATTAAAATCTAGTGGGTATAGAATAAAACAAAGTGAAAAATTGCAAGGAAGGGGACGGGCCTGGGATTGAACTCCCGACCTTCTGCTCAGTACCGAGCCTCGTCGATTCGGCCCAACTCCTACTAGACATAGAATTAAGTGAATTTTGTTACAAGCAAAAAACAATAAATTATCAGCTCCATAAAGCTAACGCTGAGTCTAACAAATAAACGAACTAGATAAAAAAAACCAAGTTTTATACCCGTTCACATTACAGCCTATATCACGTAATATAGGCTGTCTTGCAATGAGCACTCATACATATGATTTCCAGTGAAAACTAGATGTATGAGTGCTCATTGCAAGACAGCGTATATCACGTGATATACGCTGTAATGTGAACGGGGTATTAGTTAAATTTACTTATATATGAGCGCCAAAATTTCAGGAACTCCACTATGAGTAAATTTTCCTCGTGTTTTTCTGTCGAAAATGAGGAAAATTGCCGAAAATTTTACTCAGTCTATAGACTAGTATCAATAAAATGAGTGAATCCAATCTTTACTTTTATGATATTCGGAAATTTTCCTGGGTAAACCTGATCAGCAATAACAACAATAAGATATTTATATTCAGTCGCTGAAGACAAATCTCAGGAGTGCTTCTATCGACTGAGTAACGTTCCTGTTAAAAAATAAACGGTTTTTAACCAATCAAATTTCATACATTCGTCTATATACGCATTTTAGTGGTTTAAAAATGCATTAAAATTAGTTATATCTCACGGAAAGCGTAGTTATCATTGGACCACCCACAACCCTTATGCTTATACGCTTGTACGTTGAAGTTTTACAAAATTTGCTCTTTTACCAGGAAAAACAACAAGTCGTATGTACATTTTTTACGACGTCACTGTCTAATTCGTTACATACACAGCAAAAAAAGTTGTTGAATATTACATCGAAACTGCTGCAACCAGGTCAATCCATCGGTTGTGTAATATCACATTGTACGATGTACATCGATTTTGCGAACAAAATTACATCCATTGATGTAATATTGTATCTGCGTTTTGCTATTACATCATTATTTCATACATCAGCTTGAATTACGTTGATCGATATTAAATTTTTTTTTGCTGTGTACGACAATTGACACCTCCATAGAAGTTAGGTTTCGTCTGAGTACTGTGAACTAACTCAAAATGCTTTTCATCTGGGAGACGAGTCGAACTGTCTAACGGGAGCCAAACATTCAAAAGAGCTCAGAAGTCGTGTGGATAGTTACTGTTTGAACCACAAGTAAAGGTATTGCCACCTACTGAAAACGAATTAATAATTATAATTATGAAACTGCCGAAACATCAACCTTAGTAGACGGATAATGTAAATCATCGAACGTGATGCTCGAATAAGTGTTTTTATTTGATATTTATAATAATGCCAAAACTCGGTTACGAATTGCTGAAACAAGAATTTAATCAAACTTTATAAGAGTCATGTGAGCTTTGTGGGTAGGTGCACTCCCAACACCATGTATACGTTATTTGTGGAGCAGAGCATGATGAGCCAAGAATTCATTTGACAGCATGTATATACGATTTCATGAGCTGTTTCAGCAAAACAATTTGAAGCTTCGAAAGATTTTCAAGATGTTTTCTTGCTCACTTGAAAAATTAAATCGACAGAGTTCGCAATACCCAGGGTTTCGTATGTAACATTGAGCTATGTTTTGATTGGTTGGCACATACGACAAACAGTTTTTTGATGAGCAAATGAAACAGAAATGAGGAAGCGGATCCATTTTTTGCCTCTAGGAAGAGCTCTGCTTACTCTTCCTAGAGGCAAAATTTGCCCAAGCATCGCAAGACGAGTGGACAACACACGGGCCCTGTAATCTCAACGTGCATGGATCCAGTCTGCACCGTTTTATAATTATGTTTGTCAACATTATTTTTCATACGGCAAACCGATTTCTTGTGACTAAAATTCATAAGTGGTTCTTATGAAATTCTTACGTTCTTTTGCCTCAGTGTACGACTACTTAGCAAGTTTGGCAGCGAAGGACATCAGCAGCAGCAGCAGTAGCAGCAGCAGTAACAACATCAGCAGCAGCAGTAATGGAAGCGAAGCAGCATCACTGATTTGTGAAGCTGTTGTACCTGATTAACGGGATGCTGTTTGTTCAGACATGGCTGAGGCTGGAAACCTCGGTCAGGTCACGACAATCTTGCGACTAGAAAGCAAATCTACATCGAGCAGGAATTAGGGTGTAACAAATTTGTAAACAATGACTTCTCTCGATGATTTCTAGATAGTCAAGGCTCGCTCACGCTAATCTACATCCCCATTGGGTAGATGATGACTTCATCTACCTGATGGTTGTATTAGTTTGCGTTGGTGTGCCTTGAACGCATAGAAATCCCAGTAGAAATCATCGAGAAACGTAATAGGATCAATTATTTAATTTAATAATTAATTTTTGAATTAGGGGAAATGACGGCTTCGGCATGACAGACTATTTTCGGCAACCCAAATTGAAACACTATTTTCACTGGATTTTCTTACGAAAACACTTCGCTGCATGCATGCAAACGTTTCTTTATGCTTTCAGCTTCAATTTGACTATATTTTTACCACTGAGAAAAAGCAATCTAGCAAGGTTTTCTTGAAATGCAACACACGCACTACAAATTGTAGCTGATTTCGAGTTGCCGATAATAGAACAGCAGATTTACATGCAGTTCAAATGGAACAGTTGCCGAAGAAAAACTGGTTGCCGACAATACTCGCTCTCAGTAGAGAATATTGGCGCTTTGTAAAAGCGTTTCAAACCAGTTTTTGACAATTCTTTCGACTGAAATTGTTAGAGCAGCTGGCAGCAAAAGATTGTAAACAAACCAATACTGCATATGTGTGCGTTCCTTAGAGAAAAAGGCTATAGAAAGAAGGTCACTGCTTAGGTTGCCGAGAATACGTAAATTCCCCTAATTATTGTCAAAGCAGATTGCACTCAAAACCAACGTATCAGTGCCATCATTTCAAAGGGGCGTAACTGCATTTGTAGGGGATGTTTCCTGTACCAGCTAGCATTTGTAATTTTACGGAACCAAATTTTGTTCATTTAAGTTAAAAATATATATGTTTATTAAATAAAAATATGAATAGTTCAAACTAAATTCCAAGCATGTTTTCAACAAAAAAATGTATGTTTAAAATAAATTCAAAAGCATGTTTATTTCAACAATACATAATCTGGGTAATCAATTTTTAGCGTGTCCTTTTTTCCTTCTTGTTTACATTCGGCAAACTTAACCGAAAACGGCCTGCAAGCGGCAAAACCGAAGTAGAGGGTCCTGAACCCACGCAAGCAAATGTTCCAAGCTCGACAAAACCGGTGAAACATCACAATATTAACGTCAATCCGTCGTTTCTGATACCGATCCCCATATCATCCTCACCCCCACCCGACGTTGAAAGAAAAGCATATCATCCCCGAACACTAAACTTAGAAAGAGGCCGGTATGAGGACCAGCGTCAGAAACGACAAAATGACGCTAATATCACAAAGTTTCACCGGTTTTACTGAACTGGATCGGATCGGACACCCACCCCGACGGCCCCCGGATCCAAACATCCACAGACTTTCCATAATCGCAGGAATTTCCATTAATTTGCTATCCATTTTATTTTGATTTATTCAGCATTCAAATACTAAAATAGTTCCAAATTATGTTTGTTTATTTTAAACATGAAAAGCATGTTTTAAATAAACATATTAATTTTTGATTGCATATAGCTTTCAAATAAATCAAAAATATTCACGTTTATTTTCAACACGAATATTTTTAAAATAAACGTAACATTATTTTTGTTTTAAACATTATTATCAATGGATTCAAACGTAGAATACGTTTGAAATCAACCTAGTTTATGTTTGTGGCCAGAACAAACTGAGTTTACGTCTAGGGGAAGGACAGCTCCAAGTATCAGTATCAATACCGATGGTGGAAATATTAAATATTTTAATATGTGTGATATTTGCGAATCTTATACTTAGTCTGACAGTTGTTTTTTGTTTGTTTTTGACTATTTTTGTTTTAAGTGTACATTTGACATTCGTTTAATCAAAAATGTATTTCACACGAGAGGCAAGTCATTCCTTTGGGATCTTACTGGCCACCGCCACCAAAATCCGCTCCTTGTTCTCATAAATTCGGCATTTTTCTGTAGCTGTTCTCAGTGCACATAATCGGCCGCAATTCCATTCCCAGGAATTAATTTCCACAAATTCTTCATCGTCTGTGAACCAATGTGCTGTTCTCCTATGGAACGGGAATCGATTGACAATGCCGCCCCTGTTAACGGAAGCCCAGAGTGATGGTCCCGTGGTCGTATTACGCTCGATTCGCCATGAGAATGCAACTTGGAGAGATTTGTTGCTGGGGGAACGTCCAGTACCGTTTTTATCATGAATAGCCGAAGACGAAATCGATCAGAGCTATCGAAAACGAAAATCTAGGCAAAATTAAAACAAACAGAAAGCTGCAGTAAACATAAACAACAACGGTGCAACGTCATTGAGTGTATGCGTTAAAGTTACACTGTTATTATTTTTTTACTTTGAAGCTTTCCGCTTGACAGTTAATATCATTAATATTTATACTAAAAATTATAATATCTACCAATTTGAGCAATTTTTACATCAAATATTACTTCAGATCAAGTTGTACTTCCCCTAGGTTTACGTTTAAATTTACCTCAAATATTTTTGGCTAAAGGCGGTAAATTTTTCTGCGTGTTGGAGGAGTGGACTTTTATTTGCTAGAAATCGACGACTAAAGCCATTGTTTACAAAAGCAATGACGCCCATTTGAAATTTTGGCACTGATATATTAAATAAAAATAAAAATACAAGGCTATCTAATACTCCGGACAGACTATGGCTTATATCATGTAATATAGGCTGGCTTGCAATGAGCACTCATATATAGGATTTCCAGTGAAAACTAGATGTATGAGTGCTCATTGCAAGCCAGCCTATATTACATGATATAAGCCATAGTCTGTCCGGAGTATAACGCTCGAGGGCACAAAACCTATAGTCGCTATATTCATAGTCTGGCGGATAGAATCTCGGGAACCAATTGAACTGTCAAATATCGGAACCAATCGAGCAAATCACGACCAACAACAGAAAAGAGCACATCAGCTATTGCGAACAAAACTTCGGAAACCGTTTTCTCGTGGTTCAAGGCTTGCCTACGCAAACTAACACTATCTTTGCGTTGGGGAAAGATTCCCCTATCTGGTGATGCCGGTAATTTGCGTTCGATTGTCGAGGAAAGAATAATCAAAGTTTTGTTTATGAATGTTGATAGGACCTTTTCAATTGTTGGTCTACAATATATTGAATTGGTTCCGCTCTTTGATAGATCGAAATTCTATCCGCCAGACTATGAATATAGCGACTATAACAAAACCGGGTTAACAATTATTTCAACCATTCCTCGAAAATAAAAGGCCAAATGCGCAATACCTACCTCTTGTATTAACCTCGTTCACAAAATCACCACACTGGCATCACTGGATCATAAGAAACAAAGTCAGCGCCTTATCCCTCGGTTCGCAAAGGAAACCGCAAAGAAACAGACGCAAAAGTGTCAGAAAACAACATCATCGTTTCGTCGCTCGCAGTGAAATTTTACTTCAATTTTTATCACGAAAATACGTATCTTTTAAAGATAAAATTACCCCGAAACTCGCACAAGCTCGATTGTGCTAGCTTGCCCTGTAGTGAAGATGAATCTGAATGAAGTGATATACGTCGGGAATGTCCCGAAGCAAGCGACCGATGCGGAGCTCGTCGATTTTTTCAAAGATGTCGGACGAGTCGTAAAGGTGTCCTTTATGCGGGAGATGCGAAACGACTGCCGGACCAAGATAGCGTTCGTCCTGTTCGAAAACGAAATGCAGGCCCTGAAAGCTTGCAGCTTCGATCAGACCATCTTCCAGTGGAACCGGATCATCGTGATGCTGGTCAACGATGAGCGCCACTTCTGGGCCGGGCATACGGTTATCGTGCGGAATATTTCGTCTGGTGAGTGCACCCATGGGGAAATTGCGCTTTACGTTGGTTGATTTCTTATAGGAAATTATGTTCTTAGAAACCAACGAGGAAGACCTATTTGATGCATTCGGGCGATACGGCACAATAGAGGCTGTCCAGATTCCGACGTGCAACTTTGCCTACATTGGATTCCGCGATAAGTCGGCAGCGGTTGCAGCTCAACGTTTGAACAATACCACGCTTGGCAAGACCAAGATTACGGTTCAAGTCTCGCAGCGGAACATGCGTGTGAGGTTGGAAGATTTGGACAGCTTTAAAACACCACGGGTCTACAATGAGCTTATGGATGCCAAACTGAAGTACGATTATAATAATGACGCCAGTGTATCGGAAACGGACAAAACGGCTCCTCAGACTCATCAGGCTTTCGACGACTACGAGGACGACGAGGACAACCGAGTCTATGATCCGATTACGAACCGTTTCTATGATAAACCAAAGACGAACGAACCTATGAGAGAACATAGCTTCGTTGAGGAAATTATTGACGATGATGATGACGAGGACATTTTGGTTCCACCTTCGGTTTCGTGGTACAAGGACAAGGATGAAGGGACAGCAGTGTCGATTGATTTGGTATCCCCTCAGCATTCACCCGAACAAGATGTTTTTCAGGAAGAAGAGGCGGATGATGATGTCGAAATGTCCTCGGTGGAGATCAGACGACGGGACATCGACTTCGGGAAATCTGTTCTGATACCGATTTCTAAAAGCGCAGTCCGGGTGGAAAATATTCCGCGGGAGGTGTTCGACGAAGACATCGTGCGATACTTTACCAAGTTTGGTTTGGTTACAAGCATCGAGATTGCACAGTCGTCGAATTGTATATTTAATAAGGTCTACACCATTATCTACCAGCATCAATCGGTCGCGGAAAAGGTGGTGGAGTGTTTCAAGCGAAAGTGTGAATTTTCCGGTGTTGTCTGTTCGGTGTTCACGTTACGGCCGGAGGACGTCCTCCAGGAAGTGTCCGGCAAATGTGTCATCGTAGACTACATTTCCGACAGTATCGTATACGAGGACGTGGTAGACGCTTTCCGCCATGTCGGACAAGTGGTCTATTTGAGAAAAACGGCACGCAACGCGACGCCGAGTGTTGTCTATTTTCGCCATCGGATTTCGCTGGATCGTGCCAGGCAGGTGACGGACATCGACGGCGATAAGGTGCGGGTGGTGCCCTTCAGTCATGATGCGTTCCGTAGGTTCACTTTGGAGAATAGCACCCTGAAGGGTGCCAGCGCACCGTGCGGAAAGAAACCACTGAAGAAGCTACGCCTGACCGATATCGAGATGAAGGAGGAACAGGAACGGATCAAGCACATGATCCTGAGGACGGTGTACAATCCAAACTATCGGAATCCGGACCCAAAGAGTCTGGGCAATGAAGGTAGGTTGCTTTTTTTTTGGTAGTGTTAATAGAAAACAGATTAAGTACAGCGAGCAGTCTTGCAGTAGATACCGTATTCGTTTTCGTGAAAAAAATAAGCATATATTTCAGTCGCTTTTGCAGTTCGGTCGATGCTCGTGCAGTCGGTGCTTAAAACCACAATCTGGTGATAAATGTTGATGTTAAGAATACTCTTAGCTTCCATTTTCCCAACGGTTCAATTGAGGGGCAATTTTTCACACGCAATGGATGTGAATTGTCCGAATGTGGAAACTACCTACAGGATTTATCCACCGGATGTAGTCGATCGTGACCTAGCGCTAGATCAACGGGGAAGTTAAACTTGTCAATTTCGTGTTCGAGGTGTGTGTGTGTTGAGACGTGGAGAAAAAATCTTCAGATCAGCTGAAACTACATCGTTAGAAATCTGGAACATGATGGACGTGATAGGGGTCCTGAGAAAGCGACGATGGAAATGGAGGATGTGATTATCCAGGAGCAACAGCACAACCCTTATGCATCATTCGCCGGAAAAATATGCGATGCTAGATCGGACGATGATCAGGACCGATTGGAGCGGGAGAGGATAATCGAACGTGTGCACTTTCCATAGGGGATACTTCGATTGTGATGGTTCGAAAGGCGATTCGTAGCTGTGGGGATTATTTAACGAGATCATCAAGTAGATCGAAATGATCCATTTGAATAGGGTCCCTATGATGGTGGATCGTTGCTATGGTTTAGAATTTCTATTGACTATTATTTCCAAGTCGGATTGTTAGTGTGGGTGTGATCCATTTACCTCCTGCCCGTCGCAACGCTATCAAAAGTAGTCAGGACCATGTGATTTCTATCGGTGCTTCGTTCGGAGTTTACAATCAGCCTTTGCCACGGTGGAGTAAGTCGGACGATGGGTCTTTTCAGGTTGAGCATCAAACGGCAGCTAGTTCAACGGTTTTGCTCAATGGTGGATCGCATAGGAAAGCAGCAACGCTAGCATACACTCAGGCCTATCCTGCGAGTCGTGTGACTCTCTCTGTCACTAGTGAGGTGACGCGACTCGTAGAATAGGCCTGACTGTTTCGGAAGTCATAGAACCTTTGACCTTTCTTGACGCAGAACATCCTGTTTTAGACGTCCTGAAGAATCTTCCGTCGCCTTTTGAGGATCGTTCGGAAAATAACCGTACACTGGATTTCCGACGAACCAACTGTGTTAGAGCTGCTACTTCCCGCATGGACTGACGATTATTACAATCAGTTGGCTGACTTGGTCACTTGTGTCGACTGAAACGGTACCGAGCAAAGCGCTACCAGGATACTGCCAAAATCGTTCTAACATTACGAAACAGGAGTTCAACCACACAAGCAATAACTATGGTAAACGCTCCTACGGTACGTTAGAAGAGTTACGTTCCTATAGTTGCTTATGGAGACTAAAGGGACAATTGAGTGAATAGGTCTGCTTGGTGTGATTGATGAATTGAAACTAAATTTATTCGTTACTACATATTGTAACAGCTTGTAGCTAATTCATCGGTTACTTCTCCATCATCCCCCCTTAACCGAGAATTCTACCAATCCCTATTGTTCGTCGTCCAGCTTCAAGTTTAGGGACCGGCGTCCGGCACCGCCTTTGTTTGAAGATGACTGCCAACATGATTATCTTCTCTTCCAGTTTCTCACGAACAAAGTGATGTCGGATATCGATATGCTTACTGCGTGGTTAATATCCGACTTCTCTTTCAGCAAGGTGAATCGCACTTCGGTTGTCGCAAAAGATAGTTCCTGCCGTAGTCCTCTCCACCAGATGGCTTCTAGTGCAGCCGCTGATACCGCCATGTATTCAGCATCCGTCGTTGATAAGGTCACGGTTGATTGCTCAGGACAGTTCCACGAAATCGGTCCACCTGACTGGCATGAAGACGTACTCGGTGATAGACCGTCGCGTCTCGATGTCGTTTCCCCGATCTGCGTCGCTGAATCCAACGAAACCGTTATCTGCTTGCTTGCGGTAGGTAAGCTTCATATCCTTCGTCCCTTTCAGATACCGCAAAATACGTTTTGCTGCTATCCAGTGTGGCTTACCGGGGTCGCTGCAGAAATGACTGACTGCGTTAACGGCGAAGCTGATGTCCGGTCGGGTACATTACGCTAGGAACTGGAGACCTCCTACCAGCCCCCGGAATGGAACTTTTTGCATCTGCTTCCGATCTTCTTCAGTTCTAGGGGTCATCTGCTTCGATAGTTTTTGATTGCGATCTGCCGGGGTTGCTACTGTACCACAGTCAGTCATGCCGAATCGTTCCAGTAGCTGTTGAATATACTGCTCCTGGTCCAAACACACAGTTCCGACTCCTCACGTGACTCGGATTCCAAGGACTTTGTTGGCCAATCCGAGATCCTTCATAAAAAACTTCGTTGTGAGCTGCTTCTTCAAATCATTCACCCGCCGCTGGTTGTTGGAAAACACCAGCCACAATGAGAATCTTCTCATTTTCGATTTTGAAATAGACACACGTGTCAAACTTCGACCGCGTGAGTCCAAAGCGCTTGAGTTCACCATCCAGCTTCTGGTTCCATACTCTACTGGCTTGTTTCAGTCCGTACAGCGCTTTCTTCAGCTTGCAAACCTTCTTCGGACTTCCGTTGGTGATAAATCCTTCCGGCTGCTCCATAGATATGTCTTCCTCTTTCAGCTCACCTTGCAGAAATGCTGTGACTGCATCCATCTGATGTATCTTGAGATCCATTATGGCAGCTAACGACATCAAGTACCGGATAGTAGCATACCGGACCACGTTTCTATAGCATCTGTCTGGGCCCATAACCTAATGGGATAATATTGAGTAAATAGGTCTGCTTGGTGTGATTGATGAATTGAAACTAAATTTATTCGTTACTACATATTATGCTACAGCTTGTAGCTAATTCATCGGTTACTTCTCCATCAGAGACTCCATAAACCTATAGGAAATACAACGACTATATGGTTTTCGTACCCAGTCATCTCTTCGCAGAAATCCGAAGCATTTCTGGTCATTTATAAGCTCAAAAAAGAACGAAATCGGTTTGCATTTCGGTGAGCAAACTGCTGGCTCTGAACTTGAGAAGTGCCACGCCTTCGCTCAATATTTTTATTAGTTCGTTTGACGAAACCTCGGCCTCATAAATAAAGCTATACAATTGATACATGCGATTCTCCAATAGATCTAGCGTTCAGAATCATAAGGGCCTAACTGCGATGATCGATTCTCTTTATCGATTTTATCTTTTGTTAAGAACTCGACTAGATTAACACTTCTCGATACGTTTGATGTTCAGGGTGTAGAGTACCTGGAAAAAACCTGGAAAATCAGGGAATATCACGAAATTCCTTTTTGGACCTAGTTTGAGGAGGGTTTTCAATTTAAAATTTTAATAAGAGTTGCGAAGTTGGGGTTGTTCAATGCTTGATGTTGCAGTTTAGCAAGCGGAGAAAAAGTTACTCAAATGAAAGGGTATTTCGATGATTTTGAGCCTATTAAAGATTCGGCTCCCACTGGGTGTTGTCACATTCCTGAGTTAAACCGAGATAAAAATTCAGTTCCGTTCCGTTCAGACGTTGTTAGTTGTTGCGAAATTAAGCTGCTTATGGGAATGTGCGTCTTTACTAATTGCGTCTGACAACATTTAACCTCCCCTTGAGCTCATTGGAACACTTTTGAGTAAATGGAAGAATGGTTAAAAGTTAAGCTGGCCTTAGACAAGGCAAGTCATTGATCAACTCAGTTGAATTCAATTGGCTTGAAAAGTTGAGCCTGGTTCAACTTTTTTCAATTCAAGTCAGTTAAATGGCATAGTTTACACGTTCAAGTCAGTTGAATTAAACTGAGTTGATCAATTGACTGGCCTTGTCTAAACCCAGCTTTAAGAGAAGATGATGATTTTTTTATGAAAACTTCTAGTTCTTGTTCCTTATTGTGTTCTAATAGCTTGATTAGTTCAGAGAACTAACTAAATGCGAATTTAGGATAATGGCGAAGACAACAAATCTAGAAGACTGGCAACTTTGCCAGAATCCAAGCGACAGATACAGTAGCGCTGCGCTTGAGTGAAGGTGGAAGCAACGCATGGAAAAATAAGCAAATACACAAACCTTTCTTCTGAGGATGTAATCTTTGCTTATCAAGTTCGTTCGAAGCATTTACCTTCGAGCGGCAGATGACGCGATTGTCTCTGTCTCATAGCTTTCGTATGACAAAATGGAAGAGTTGCCAGTCTTCTTGATATGAAGTCTTTGATAATGGTCTTGCTTGGGAGTTTTTTTTTTTGTTTTTGATTGATTGGAGTAGCACTTTTATGATTCAAAGATACATAGAGTGGCTGTATTAAGTATTCTAGGTCTTCATTGTAAACCTGGTTAGCTCGTAAAATAAGCTTCACAGTAAAGTTTTAGTATGGTAATGTTGCTACTATTGCAATTTAGATGGAATTACCTTACAGAATTTTGGAGATGAAAGCGTTGTTTTTACTATTTCCCACTGGAGGAATCCGCCCTCGAATCAGCTTTTGGTTAAGCATATTATCCGGAATAATTTTCTTACGGAGCTGGGTCTCAAAATGTGCTCAAGGCAAAACAAATATAATGGGATTAAAAACAAGTGTTTCATATGTGAAATGCAGAGTGACCAGTAAACCTGGAAAACCGGAAAAAGCTGGAATTTGAAGTCACCGGAAAAATCCCATGAATTGAGTTGACTAATCTGGAAAAAATATACCTCGTCCTCTCTTCGAAAACAATAATATTTCAAGACCCTGATCAAGACTCAATCAAGACTGGCCTAGGATAACTACAGTCACTTTGAAGAGCTATTAAGAGAATTTTTAAAAAATTTCAAAGCAAATTTGAGCAGATTTTAGAGTGAATTCTAGAGATAACACCAAGGTATTTCAGAGAATATTTTCTAGGGAGCTTTAGGAAAACCTATAGGGGAGTTTTTACTAGATCTCCCAAGAGTG